GAAAGAAAGAAAGAAAGGAAGGAAGGAAGGAAGGAAGGAAGGAAGGAAGGAAGGAAGGAAGGAAGGAAGGAAGGAAGGAAGAAAGAAAGAGACAAAAATATCCTAATTCTTTGCACTCAGATTCAAAGTAGATTTTTATTTCCCAACAAATAATTACTCACACCTCCCCACCAAAACAGTCTGATTAAAGCAACATGCACTGGAAGAATTCATACAGCAGAGCATGAAGATCCTAACAGTTGTCTGGGTCAGAAAGTGACTAGCACTGGCCTCTGCTACTTTACTATGTAAGCCCTTTAACACCTTACCAGCAGAATGATTACCCCCCCCCAAAAAAAAAAAGTTTCAACATGTACATTCCAACATTCAAGCATTCTGCCTGAGGTCCTATGTCCTCAACCAAATGCTTTAGTGTAAGCTGCTGACACACTACTCACTGCTCCACCACTGGCTGGATATTTTTCCCACCAAAACAGGGCTATTGCCCTATACGTTCATGGTCTCTGTAAAGAAAAGAAATCATTGTCTTGGTTTATATTTCCTTTAAAAATAAGCAAATGTTCTAATGTTCTACATATCATTAAGAACCTAGACAGTAAACTCTCAAGTTTCCAAAAGAAATCATCTCAGTTCGTTTTAACATAAACAACCCCCCATCCACACAGATATAGTATTTCAAAAAAGGCCAATCCTAAAACACGTATCTTTAATATGCAAATGCCATAAAATTAAAACACAAGTGCTTACTTCATGATTCCTTAGAGCATTAATTCAGGTCAACTAAAAACATGGACTGGGAAAGATTTTTCAGGGTTTCAAAATACCTTTATTAAAAAAATATATATACATATATAAATATATATATATGTATCTCTTTGCAACTTTTTTTTCAGAATAACAAAGAAAACAATTCCTGAGAACATGGTGTATTGGTACACACTTACACTTACAATTGGTGCACATTCAAGAGTTGGAAGTGGGAGGACTGCTTTAAGTCTGAGTCTAACCGGGGCTACATGGCTAGTACAAGGCCAGCCAGGGCTACACAGCAGGGAGGGAGGGAGGAAGGTAGGGAAGAAGGGATAGAAGGAATGGAAGGAAGGACACGGTCTCTCAGTGGCTCATGCCTGTAATTCCAGCCCTAGGGAGACAGAGATAGGAAGACCCAGAGTTGGGTACAAAAGACCCTGTTCTCAAAAGCAACAACAAAGAATTCCTATGTAGCGAATGCTCCTTAAGGTATGGACTGAGAAAGTTTGCAGCAAAGAGAGCCATAACCATTTTTACTAACTCAATGCAGGTACCAAAGGGGACCCGAGGGTTTAGGCTGAGACTGCTGCCCCTTCAGTTTTCTGCTAAAGTTAGAAAACTATTTTAAAGTACAGATAGCTTCAATACAGATGCAATTTGAAAAAATACCCAGAATGTAGAAAATTCTACAAAACAAAGCTCATGGTTTAAACAAATAAACTGTAAGGGAATGAATGTAATGATAGAAGTATAGAAGAGACCTGAAAATTAACCATTTGCAAGTATGAACTTTATTTGGATACTAATTTGAACAAAACAATCTTGAGACATTAATTTCGATAGTCTGTGACACTATCATTTTTGGTGTTTGATGAAATACTTTTCTAGATGTGATAATGGTAGTATGGCTATTTTTTTAAGCCCTTATATTTTCCAAGATCTACACTGAAATATGGATCTACCTAGAACTTCCTTCAAAATCATCCAGTAAAGGCAGTTTTGTGATATAATACATTTGGCTAAACTGTGATAAATGCTGAAGCTGGCAGTGTAGACATGCAGGTTCATTTCCCATAATAAAAATTAGTCCACCAAAGTCCATCATTCATTTATTACTGTCTAAAATAATAAGACAGTTTACCAGAGAATGCTAATTATATGCAAAAATTACAATAGCTGAGATTAAAGGAGAAAGAAAAAAACCTGCATGTATAGGGTTAAATGGTTTGCCATCAGCCACTGCTAATGATCTCAGCAATTCACAGATCATTTAAACTAGCTAAGAGGAGTATCTGATGTAGAACAGCCAGTAGCTTGGAGTGTATGAACTAAACACATTCAGTTTAAAAATGCTATGGTAAACAAACTTTGTTTTACTATATCCTCAAATCACACTTATTTCAGACTAATCGAGTCATTTATAGCCAAAGCCAAGAGACCAGAAAAATGTCAACAGAAGCTACTTGATCATTCTACTCCCTATACAGGCCTGTGCGGCTCAGAGGGGATGTACGCTGAGAAAAGTGTCACTGCTGAACACATCATAAACTAAGACAGCTATGAAGTCACTTGCTGAATCATCTTATGGGACACTTATCAAAAAGACAGTAGATAACAATACGATCTTTCAAACTTTCTGGTAAACTAAGGCATAAAGCTTGTGTGTGTTATGCTTGTTTGTACTCAAGTAAACTGTCCAAAGCCAAACAAATTAGCCTCAAAAGAATTAAAGGGGTTCAAGATGTAACTCAGTGGTAGCGGGCATCCTTAGCAAGCCTGAGGCCCTGGATTCAATTCCAAGCACCACAAAACTAAATCAATAGATAAATACAGTAACAAGCCCTCTTGAAGGCTAAACAAAGGCACAAATACACTGACACATTCTCCCAGGTCTTTCCCAGTTCTCTCATTGAACCAGACCTTCAAGACTTACTCTGTGTATCCAGCATTAAGCAAAGGAAGTAGAACTCCCCAGAGCATCATGGATACTGATGACCTACACTGCTAGGCTTCAAGACCTAGGACCTTGTGCATCACCCCATATACAGCCAATGAAATCAAGATAAGCACTGAATTTGAGAAATATATAATTCTTTACTTCCTGCTTAAGAGAAAACCTGCTACCCCAATGTTTTAATAAAATGGTAGAAAAACACAGGCTACAGAATCCAGTCAACCTACGTTTGAATGTTTGCCACTTACAAGCTAACTTGCCAAATTAAATGGTCCTCAATTTCCTCCCACATAAAGAATAAAACACCATCAAAGTTTAAAGAATAATGTACCTACCTGACACAATGTCTGGTGTTCAATCAGAAGCTCTAGTCATTTTTACCTGTTAGTATAATTCAATGGCCAACTCAAACAGGATACAAATTATTTTTAGTGTCTGCTGAATACAGTGTAGCCATGGTCTTAATGTATCTCCTGAGGCTGGAAGTATAGTTCAGAGGAAGGACACTGCTTGCCTGCAGTCCCAGCTACTATGGGTACTGAGCTAGGAGGACTGAGACAAGAGGGCAGGCTTCAGCCTGGGAGTTGCAGCCTAGTTTGGGTAGCACAGCGAGACTACACTCCATCTCTTTAAAATAGGGAAAACAGTTCCTCCAACCAAAGAAATCACTATTTATAAGAAGCACTCAGCAAAATAGACCAAAACAAAATTATATTCTCTATCCAATAAAATATAAAATACTGACAGAACGAGTACCTGAAGATGGAAAAGCACTATCCATTCTACTTCCAAACACTTACCTTTTGGCACCTTTCTTTTGCAGATTTGAAATTCAGATTCTCACACAATCACTGGCCTCCTCTTCTGTTTAATTCAATAGCATACACATTAGAGTGGCTCTCTTGCTATTAAATACAGCAGCAGAAAGCACACTTGTCTCATTCTGCTTTCTAACTATGAAAACTAAAGTACAAAGGCAAATGCAAGTACTAACCCAAAGTCACTAAAAGAATGAAAGCAAGCAAAACAAAAACCCTCAGACTGGACAACATAAAGAGCAACTGTGCAAGCTCCCACTGATTTACCCCCAAGCACCATATTCCAGTATGAATTGTACATAGCTGTTCCCCCTTGGGGAAAGAGTCCCATATCTTGATGAGAGATCAAAGAACAAAAAGCAAAGCATAAGCCAGACAGGGTGTGATGGCAAATGCCCGTCATACCAGTACTATTTGGGAGAGGCTGAGGCAGGGTGGCTGCAGGATCAAGACAAGCATGGGCAACTTAACCCAGGCCATGTCTCAAAAAGAAGAAAACATGAAGGAAGGGTGGCTGGGGGTGTAGTGCTTTGTAGAGTGCTTGCCTAGCATGCAGGAAGGAGGCCTTGGGTTTAATCCCCAGTACTACAAAAATAAATACATGAAGTAAAACATAGTAGGGCTGAGGATGCAGGGCAGTAGTAGTACAATGCTTACTTAGCAAAATGGACAAGGCCTTGTGTTTAACGATCCCCAGCACCACACAGAAGTAAATAAGTAAAACATACTACTAAGCCATTTCCAAACAGGTGAGACACCAAGTGTGTGTGCTGTTGCAGGAAACAGAATGGAGAGCCATGAATGGGAGTCTCTGCACTTCCTATCTGCAAAAGAAGAGAATAAAAAGGTTAACTCTAAACTGAAAACAGAATCTTCTTCACCTGTTTAACGTAGTTTCCAGAACACGTTAAATCAAAAGATGAGAATGTACTGGTTAAGACTGAGGATTGTGCCCAACATGACAGCACAAGGCCTTTAATCTAACCAGCAGGCAGGAGGATCCAAGGCCAGCCTAGTCTACATAGTGAGTTTCAGGCCGGCCAAAGTAATATAGTGAGACCCTACTTCAAAAAGTTTATTTTAATGACAGAGTTTGCAGGTGAACTCAACCTTCTAGTCAAAACATAAACGGAACTGCAAATTCAGTATTAGAAGTCACTTGAGATTCAATCACCACCACTGCAAAAGAAAAAGTGAATGGCAGACTTTTTTTGCCCCACCACTTCGATGTCAAGGTTGAAAAAAAGCACAGGGTCCATCTCTTCTTCAGATGTTTCTTTAAACCATCACTAAAATGAGCAAAATGTGCTTCCTTACTGAAGCGCTACTTATGGAGGACCTGCCTCCCAACAGTACGTCTAGCCTTTAGAAGGGGTCATTTTATAGGTGCCCTTCCTTTCTGAAGAAGTGACAGGTAACCTCTGGGGAAGCCCAATGCACACACCCCTTTCTCGAGCCCCACGGAAGTTAAGGGTTGACTGAGGACTGACAGATGAGTGCCTCCCCGGCACCTCTCCCCCCGCTGCCCAGCACCCAGTTCTCTGGGAAGAAAAAGAAATTCCATCTGCACTTTGCATGCGCCCATCTGCCCCCGTGTGAGTACGTTGGTCCGGGTGGCAGAGGACCTTGGGCCGGGGAAATGGGATGCGCAGCCATCTGCGCCCGCGACGCGGTCCCCAGCCCCACATCTAGGGCCCGGCCCGCCCTCCCGGGCCGCGCGCGTCTGCCCCTTGCGGAGCCGAGCGGAGCGGAGCGCGGCGCCTGGGACCCGAGGGCGCGGGAGCGGAGTGCCCGGGCCGACGGTACCTTTTGGACAGGTCCATGAGGACCCCGGAGAAGAGCTTCTCCCCAAGGCGGAACGACACGACGAGTGCGTCCTCGATGATATGGTCCAGCGTGACCCGCACCTCCGAGCCCGGGAGGAGCAGCGACACCTTCGAGTCCCCGCCCGCCGGCGGCACGAGAGCCGAGGCTGGCGCGTCCTCGCGCTCGT